CGCACAATATATATATATATATATATATATATATATATCACATATGTATGTGTATATTGTATTGTGTATATATGCATGTGTCTATATATCATATATGGAGAGGTAGCTAAAACCCGTAAACTCATTTACTTCCCTATCATGTTTATGTCATGCTTATTTGTTTCTGCATGGTCCGCTTTGTTTATTTTTATGAAAAAAATTCTAAAAATTCATAAACCTCTAATTTGGAGTAATATTAATTCATAAACTTGTAGAGATGTCTATTAATTCTCAAACTTGCAAAATTGAACACGTTAAATCATGAACTTGTTAAACGATTCCATAATCGTCCATAGCGTTATTTAGTCGAAAAATGAGTTGACTAATCTGACGTGGCGCATAACATGACGAGCCAACTCAGAAAACTACCGCCACGTCACGTGCCACGTCGGATCGGACAACTCGTTTTTTTGACCAAATAACGCTATGGACGATTATGGAACCGTTTATCAAGTTCAAGATTTAACGTGTTCAATTTTACAAGTTTGGGAATTACTAGACACCTCTACAAGTTTAGGAATTAATATTACTCCAAATTACAAGTCAAGGAATTTTTAGGATTTTTTTTCTTTATTTTTTTAAGACTGTTTGTATTTAATTAAATATAAAAATTACAAAACTTATAATTGATTTCAAGTATCCAATAACCGAATCATGCCTAAATGAAACCAGAAAAATAAGCCGATAACCGAATTAAACTAAACCGATATAAATGTCCAATTACATGCAAAATTCACAAATGCATTTCGCAATCTAATCATGGTAAAATCGTGGACGAAAATGCAACACAAAATATGCATGCGTGCTTTGGAAGTCTCTTTCAACACAAATATATATAAATTAGTAAAGAAATATATATATACACACACACACAATATATTTTGGTATGATTGGGCCTTTGTTCTCAATTGTTAAAGCCTGCTATAGTATGTTATGTATGACCCAAAGTTTATATACTCGATATTTCGCGATGGACCTTTCCTTTATTTTTAGAATAAGATGTGCGAAACATTTACAAAACACCCATCATAAGAAAATATATATATCCATTTTAACTTTAGGAAAAAAAAAACAGGGATGTTGCCATATGCTACATGCATGGAGAATGAACGGCGATCGTAACACAACTTAATATAATTTTGAAAACACGGTTCCATTGAGAGGAGGGCCAGAAATCATTAATATAGGAGTACAAATTCGAATTTATTTAAAAAAAAAAAGAGAATATAATATCATCAAGAATTCAACAATTTCTTTGCGACTTTTGTTTCTCGTCGTAAAAATGGGAGAGAGAGAGAGAGAGAGAGAGATTTGGATATGGTATTAGCATCGAGTCATGGATCTGGTGGGAGAAATCAATGAATTAGGTGTCGTATCTCTTATGATGATGATGATGATGATGATGATGATGATGATGATGAAGGGGTAAAAGTGTCAAGACTGTACAATGCAGAAGATCATGAAGAGGTTTATTCTTGGCTGTTTGTATTTGTACTTTCAGGTTCTGCAGCCATTGATCCTCCTCCCCCTCCACGCTCTCCAGTTTGTGAACCTGAATTACCACAAAAACACATCCAAAATTTTCCAAGTTATTTATTTTCCACCAACTATTTTGCAATATTTAAGAAGCATGATTTTGTATCATATAAATCTAGGTAATGAGTATATATATAATTGTGTATATCTAAAACAAATATTATATATTGTGGTATATATATATATATATAATTCCAGATTTTGTATATATTATGATATATCATAATGTATTATTGTATCTAAAAAGATACTTTTAGTCAGCGTCCAATTAGATGAAGTGTACAGATAATTTGGAAAGTTGGGTTTTATAAGGAAAAGGAGAGGTTGGTAATGGGGACACAGCTTTTAATATCAGCGGTTGAAATATTAATTTATACAATTAAAAATAAATAAAAATTGGAATTTAACATAAATGGGGAATGGTCCCCGTATGACTAGATATCCAGAATCAATCAATAATATAAAAAAGGTGACAGAACCCACATGCCGTCACTATTGGTTTAGACCACAATCATCCACGCAGTGTGCAAACACACATACACATGTATATACAGTTGCATGTACATACATATATACACACATATATCTATATAATTGCAAATGTATGCATGTGTGATGGTTCTCTTTCATGGTTACACAAATCGACACATGATAATGGCATATAAGAGGCACATAAACCAATGTAAAAAAACCAGACAGCTCACTCCACATGACCTGACTGTCCCCTAAAGCAAAATTATATATGTATATATAAACTGTCCCCTAGAGCAAAATTATATATAATATATATATATATATAACAAATCAAAGAGCCATTGCAAAAAAACCCAACAATGAACAAGCCAAGAGAGGGTATATATACCGATATTTTTGTTTCATATACGTATGATTTTTTCATGCTGGGATGAAGCAGGACCATTACTACATGCATGCACATGGATGGTCAAATGCAACATGGCAATAAACGATGTCGTTTGATACGAAACAAAAAAAAATTGAAATCAAACTGAAAATTATAGTGGATAATGTAAAGAGAGTTACATACCGGTGGAAGAAGAAACGAGCATTTGGGGAGGAGGAGCAAAAGAGGAAGAAGGGAACCGTTGATGATGATGATGATGATGATGATGATGTGGGTTATATGGTCTAGGGCTTGAAGTTTGGAAGGAATAGCCGTAGTAGTAAGGAGAAGGCATGATGGCGGATGATGATGATGATGATGATGGTGATGTTGCTCCTCCGTACAGTTGTTGATAGTACTGTGCTTGTTGGAGCTGTGAGTTGTATAACGACTACGCATGTCCCCCCATACATGTACATGCATATAATCATCATTATCATTAATGTCCATACAATTTGTGCGAATGTGTGTGTACTCTAAAGACTAATTCATATACATGTATATTATGTCATATGTGCGTGTGTGTGTTTATATATATTACTTATGATTGCAATGTCGATAATGTTTCGTGGTTAATGAATAAACGTATACTGCATCATGCTATGATACACATTTTGCCAAATATATATATATATATATAGGTGATTCTATATGTTGATTAGACATATATTATTATATGTTATTATTTTCATTTTGATTTGAGTATAGTCTAATGAAAACTATAGACTGATATCTCTTGAAAATATAAATATCAGTTGTAGATATTATAATATACTAAGAAAGCTCTATTCATCACGGCTATGGACGTTAAAGCCACAATCTAAATCGTAATTCCCATATGGATTCATATAAGACGTTTATCTATTATTCTTTAATTTTCCCTTAATTCAATAATTATGTTTGTTCAAATCTGTCATGCATGTGCATGTGCATGTGTGCATATACACATATATATATATATATATAGGCAGAGAGAGATACTGACTTGGTGGTATCCATATTCAGGATTGTAGTTGTACCTGAAAAAAGAGAATATAATGATCCTAAATTAGACTACATATTCAAGAGACAACTATTCCACGTGTTTTACCAAAGTAATTAGAACATATATTTGGGGATTAATGTAATACAATTTCGGCAAAAAGACTTCAATTTTTTTAAAAAATATATCAGAAAAATACTCCCAATTCCACCGTACGTTCACACGCCCAACTCTTCACATTTGCAATATCCCATTAACTACGGCATGAATTTATATATATATATTATATATACGAAATTACAAGACATTGCATTAACATATATGTATAGTAACATATATACTCCGAAATTACAAGAAAAATACTCCCAATTCCATCGTCGCGATGATCCAATGCTTGAAACAATATATTGCATTAACTTATATATATATATATATATATATAGACACCAACTGGACCGATTGAAACGTTCAATATATATATATATATATATATAAATATATGATCTTCTTCTCTCTCCATTTCTATCAGATTGGACCATCTCCAATTGTCTAAACTTCTAAACAAATTTATTCACTTTTCTAAACCCTTTGGAATAAATAATTAAGCAATATAATACATATATACACACACACACACACATATATATATAGAACTCACCCATACGGCGGATAGAAGAGCTGAGCCGCGGCGGCAGGCGGCATAGGGGCAGCCCTCCCTGTGTAGCCCGACGTTCTGGTAATAGCTAGGGCTTCCTCCTTGTCCTCTCCCTGAAATTTCAACGATTAAAACAAACATTTTTTAGCTTTTTAAATAAATTAATTCTGATCATTATTAGGGAAAAACATCATCACAAAAGACCATTTTGAAATTTAGCTCCTATTCTCCGCATGTAGATTTACACCATTCACACATTATAGATAGAGACGAATGATCCAATCAAATAATAATAATAATAATAACAGTATCCGTCTATTATAAAATACTATAAACTATATTTCTCCACACATTTGGCTGCCAACTCATTGTATACACAT